CACATTGATCATATATCTAATTTTAACATACACACACTCATACAAATTATTATTTACAAAGATATTAATTATATATTTATAAAATATTTTTTATGACAAGAACAAATTGTTCCAGGGGCTCAGCAATTGCGAAGATTGTTGGAACAAATACAATGAAATACAATAACATATTTGAGACTCGAGTAACCATGTATGTGTATGAGGAGATTATCAATAATGAAAAATTGACTCACATAATCAACACCCTTCATGAAAACGTTAAATATCTGCCTGGGCACAAACTTCCAGAAAATGTGGTAAGTACCATAGTTATATATTACATTTTTTTGTCTGTAATTGATATTTGATTGCTAAACCAGTAGTTTTCTGAGGAAAGGCATACTTAAAGACTTAATAATTATTGTCAAAGCTGAATGCAATTTTTATTAAAAGAAATCTTATCATGTTACGATCCTGTTTAAATCTCATAAACGTGTTTTAAAATGCTGAAAGTTGAGTAAAGTTCTGAAGTGAATAAAAATATATTTGTAAACAAAATATTTTTACAATTAGTAATTAGTAGTAGTGCGGACATACACCTTTCCGGACGGCATGGATACGCGATCGACGCCTCCTGGGAAGAGTTTCGGGAGATCTTCCTCTTTGACTGTTGGCAAAATCATTACTTTTTCGCCAGGCTGCAACATGATTCACATAATTAAATTGAGTAAAATCTCATTTCGTCATCATTATTGAAAGTTAATATCGTTATTTATCGTTAAATCTAACTAGATTCTATTGCAAATGGCACACAATAAAAGGGATAAAGGTAAGACTTACCACCCAATTGGCGGGAGTTGCTACTTCCGGTCTTCTGTCGACAAGTTGCAGTGAATCGATTACACGTAATATTTCGCTGAAACAAGAAGAGATTATTAATGTTTATATAATAAATTCAAACAATATACTTATCTAAAGAATATCTCAAAGATGTCTTTAAAATGTATATTTCTGCGTTTATGACATTTTTAAAACATCTCAATAGCATGATATTTTCTAAGAATGTAAATAACATATATATCATTCATTTATGAATGTCTAAAATATATCAGACGCCTACAATGCAGCATTCGATTAACTTACTCGACGTTGCGTCCAGTAGAGGTCGGATATTGCATGGAAAGTCGCAGACGATGATCCGGACTGATGATGTACAAAGCTCGAACAGTTTGAGCGGTTTCTGGATCATCTTTACTCTGCTCGTCGATCATGTCCAGTTGCACGGCAAGCTTGCGCTCATGATCAGCGATTATAGGATATGGAAAAGCCCCAGGAATATCCTTGCAGTATGATTTGATGTCCTGGGATGCGAGAAATTAGAAATTACAATAGTTAGAAAAATAATTACAAATGAAATTAATTTGAGATTTGACAAAATATACAAATGCGCATAAACTCTGAAACGAACGAATAACGTTCAAAGATTGATCGATGCCTACATTGACCCAGTCCACGTGATCTTTGAGCTTGTCGACTGAATGAGCTAACAGCTTGGTGTTGCGCTTTTCAAAATATGGCTGATGTACCGCGATACGACCTAATTCGGTGGTACACACAGGAGTAAAATCCGCAGGATGAGAAAACAGGACTACCCATCTGTGAAGGATAAATGATCGTTAACCGGGACAGCTATATTAGAAAATGAAATTAATATGAAAGTTAAACGTTAAGTTAAACGTATAATACATAATTTCAAATAAAGAATATATCTATATATATATATAATTCTTATAAAAGTGTAATATTATATAAGTACATAAATTTTATATATATATATATATAAACATAATTAAAAATATATTTAGAAAAAAAAGAAGATATTTGTGGTACAAGCGAGATATTCAACTTGAGATAAAAAAATTGAAATCAAGTGATACAAAATGAAAATTTGATTGAAAGTAATGAATTTAATTTGTAATGAATAAAAATTTTAAATAATGAATTTTACTTTAATTTATATAAAAATTCATTAATCATTAATGTACTATGTAATTTTAATTTCCGAATAAAAATCGAATAAGGTAAGCAAATATCAGTGCGAATCCCGCTGATAAGTGTCGTATCACGTAATCACTCCGGTATTTATCAGAAATACAGTGATATAACCACGGTCACGCGATTACCCTGGTCGAGTGCGACACTTTCAAGTACGAGTACTTAATATAATCGACTGTTCACTTTGATATTGTGCCAAAAGCAGATCCAGTTGTTGCGATATACATTTTATTTCAACTCACGGTCATCCTTTGATTCTTCAATGCGAGTTGCCAGATGATCTCAATTCGTATTTGCAATGCATGCGCGTCGCAATACTGCGTATTTGCAATTTTTAATTTTTAATTTTTAAATATTAATAAATTGAGTATGTAATCCTATTAAATAAATTAATGTAGTGATTACTACATAAAGGAATAAAATTTATAATCTTTACAATACTTTAAGACCACCTTTGTTTTTTCAAGATAACAATTCGTCGTGCAATAATCAAATAATTTATAAATTAATATAAATTTATATAAAAAAGTTTCATTATCATTATGACAATTATATAAGGATAACTGGATAATTTGTTATACACAAATATACCTTTTATTATTATAAGTTATACGAATTATAACTATTGGAAAATTTCCATGATATAAGCGTTGTCTCTAACAGGTTGTTATCTTCAACAACCTGTCACACCAATGTTGTTATGATAAAGAGGATCTATTCTTGGATCATACACTTTGCTGCAAATTATACGCAGCGAACGAATGCAAATTTATCTGTTTATTATTCACATTCATTTCAACACGATGCATTTCGCAATCTCCGTTTGCCGATAGATTATTATTACGAAAAATAAATCAGATAAGACTTCATTAACGCAACTAAAATTGACTTTGACGATATATTATCTAATATCTTCTTACATTATGTCACGTTATATTTAATTATGTAGATTTTTCCCTTGAACTTGATTACAAACATGAAAAATACAAATTCATAATTATAAATACAAAAAATACATAAGTTCAAAAGATTGAAAATTGATAACTGAATTGAGACTAGACTAATGAGTCAAGTTTAATGTTCGTGTTTTTCTATTATAAAAATAAATATATAGATAAATGTTTAATACATGATGATTGTGATTTTATCTGTTGACTGGATTACGACAAACTTTAATTTTGACAAATAATTTAATCTTGTTATAAATTGAAATATTTGCGTTGTTCTCACTATAGCATTTTCAAGAGTTTGATAATTAAAGTATTTAAAAAAAGATATATAATTAACGTAAATGAGTAGAATAATACATACAATAAAATGTTGTTTCTTTTTTTGCAAATTAATATATAATTATTATTTAAGCATATTTATAAATCAATATTCATATAATATTTATAATATTATATATATAATATTTATAAATCAATATTATTCATAGAAGAGTAAATGAAGAGTAAATAATGAATAGATTGTAATAAATAAAATTTTATATATATATATATATATATATATATATATATATATATAT